TTCTTCCTCTGTCGGAGTTAGTTGAATATTCTGTGCTCCTTTCTCTTTATCTCCAACCCTTCCTCTTGTCTTCTCGTTTCATGTCCTTCTTCCTTATTTCCTTTCCCCTCCAGCACCTTTTTTACAGCATCTCCCAGAACCTTCTCACAAGCCGCTACAAATGTCCGTTTTATTTCCTCCGCCAGAAAATTTTTAATTTCCTTCCACGCAAATTCTCCTTCCATGTTGCCTTCTACTTCTATAGCCTCCTTTCCACAAATTATTTCTCTCACACTCTCAAGCAAGTTTATAAGCTGTTTCTTGAAGGGTATTGGTACTCACAACAAAGAGTCTTTCCCCTGTTTAAATCGCTACTCACAGTTCCACACCGAAAATTATCACAAAAGGTGTAATATTTCTCCGGGGAATTCCTCAAGAGCGTATCGGGTTGTCGCTGCAAAGTATCTTTTCAGTACAAGCAAAGTTTTATTTAAAAACAGTCCAGGTGGTCGCAACTCTGAAGAACACGGCAGCCATGTTCTTTGCCTTCTCTCGCTCCCACTTCGGGGCAATTCTGGAGCACCTCCCTGCTTTGCCAAAGTTCGGGGAGGGCCAGCAATGAGCCCCCTGCTCCTGCAGTCTCTTCCTGAGCTTGCAGGTCGTGCTCCCCCATCGCTGGGGCCCCCGAAAAGGAACAAAAGAGCACAGGCGGCTTGGAGCTCAAGCCCGAGCTCCCGCCCGTCGTTGCGCCATACCGGAAGCGGAGGCAGGAGTTTCGTAACTGCATTGAGGGGCGTGTCCCACCTAGAGGACAGGAAGTGAAGTTTTGGTTCCTGCCTCCCTAAGGAAAGGGTGGGAAACACCCAACAAGATGTCCTCCATAACCTTAGAGGAGAAGGACCCTTCATGGTAAGTACCAATGGCCCATTCCTTGAACGCGGTGACTTGGCCACAGTGATCCATGTGATGGTCACCTCGAGACTGGATTACTGTAATGCCCTCTATGTGGGGCTGCCCTTGTCGCAAATTCGGAAGCTGCAGCTGGTGCAAAATGCTGCGGCCAGGTTGTTGATGGGACTCTCAATTCGGGAGCACATCCAGCCTGTGCTAAAGGCACTGCACTGGCTGCCTATAGCATACCGGATTCACTTCAAGGTGCTGTTTCTTACCTTTAAAACCCTTTATGGCCAGGGTCCGACATACCTGAGGGACCGCCTTTCCCCATATATGCCCCGGAGAGCACTGCGTTCTGGGACCCAGAACTGACTGGCCCTCCCGAGTGTCAAGGAGGCCAGGTTGGCAACAACCAGGGCCAGGGCCTTTTCGTTGGCGGCTCCATTCTGGTGGAATGAGGTCCCAGAGGAGACCAGGCCCTGCGGGACCTTTTACAGTTCCGCAGGGCCTGCAAAATGGAGCTGTTCCGCCAGGCTTTTGGAGCCGCCGCCACCACCACAACTATTGGTGCCATTATCAATAACAACAACTGACAACCATGGTGGATGCCCTGAGCCACTGGTCCCTGTGACTACCGCCCATCCTAGCCTCCCCTATCTGAAGCAGACCAATAAAATTAAAGCAACAAAAAAAATTGGAATGTGCTAGCTATGTTTGATTATAACACTGTTTTTATATTGCTGTATTTTATTTATCAGGAAATGTATTAGGGTAATGAATTGTATTTTATGTATCATAAGAACTTTTATTCTGTTGTAAGCCGCCCTGAGCCAGCCTAGGCCGGATGGGCGGGATAAAAATCAATAAAATCAATCAATCAATAAAATAATACTGAGTAAGGTCTTTTGAAATATTTTTGGTTCTAATTTCTGCTCAAGGTAATAGCCATATGAGCAGTATTAGATAGACAGAGATTTCCTAGCCTACTTGATAACAGGAGTTGCCCACCAGAGCAAGATTGTTTTTACCCCTGATTTCACTTGACCTTTTCCCCTGTATGTCTAATAAAATATTTTGTTTATTTTTGAACTTTATTTTTTTTCCAAATGTTTTTATTGTATCCCAATATTGTTATTACATTACAGTTTAGTTCCAACTTTTTGATACTTTTACCCCTCTGTTTTTTCCCTCCCCCCTAAGGTGGCCACCATCATGTTATTCAAATTACATTTTCAACCATGAGCACATTCTTTCCAACTTTTCAAATATACCTCTGTTGGCTTCCCCTTTATAAACCCATTTAAAGTATACCGACCATTTCTTTTTTATCTCCTTCATTTTTACAGTCCATGTCTTATCTTGCTTTAAACATTCCAATATGTCCGATTGTATATATTCATATAAATATTCGTTCCATTTTTCTAAAGTCCATTTTGAGTTCTCCTTCCAACCATATGCAATTACTGCATGCGCTGCTAATAACATTACTTTGAAAATATCCTGATTTTGTTTCTCAATTCTATGGTTTCCCAATACACCCATAAATAATAAATCTACATCTATAACCAGGTTCACTTTACATAGCACGGCTATTTTCCCCCGTATCTTTTCCCAAAAATCTATCACTTTTGGGCATTCCCACCATAAGTGAGAATACCACCCTTCTTTTGCATTACAGTGCCAGCAATTGGGTTTCATTCCTTTTATCATATATGCCAGTTGTGCAGGAGTTCTGTACCACTTCCATATTATCTTTCTTTCAAGTTCTCTATACTTTTCTAGCTTAATTTTCTTCAAGTTCACCATTAACTTATTGACATCCTCAGTAGTAATTTGTTTTTCCTTATTCCATTTGTTTTTTAAGCTTCTGCACATAAATTCCTTATCTTTCACCAATTCTAAATAAATCTTCCCTGCCAATCCTTTTTTTATTTCTTTCACATATAGTATTTGTTCCATATTATTATCTTCCCTTTTAATAGCTTCTTTATACTTATCTTGTTTAATTAAAGAATATAATCCCATCGAATTTAACCAATATCTATTTCCTAGTTTTTGATTCAACTCCTGAGGCGTTAGTGGATTCCCTTGGCTATTATACATATCCTTCACTCTTAATATTCCTTCCTTCTGCAGGTCGTCCCAGAATTTCGGATTCATCTCCTTCTCCGTTTATTTTTGAACTTTAAAAAGCCTCTCATGCGCCATTTTCAGAAGTTTAAGAGGTGATCTTTTCTTTTCCCTCAAGTTCCTGGGCTGAGCCAGCAATGAGACAGGGTGAGAGAGCCATAAACCTTCGGAAAAGAAGAAAATAAATAAAGAGGCTGCTCAAACAAGAAGGAAGGGAAAAAAGGAGGGAAAATCCTGCATGTGAGGGAGGGAAGAGGACGAGGTTGTCATAACAGCTATAGACTAACCAGTTGGCTTTTTTGGGGGGGGAGGTGGGAAGCAACACTGTGAGCAGTGAGTACAGTAGAATTGAAGCCATCCAAATACATCCTGATTTCAAGACCCACAGCAAGCCTGAAACCTCAGCAGCTGAGCATTCTGATATCCAAACTAGTACCACTATCTTTCAGGTGCATCCAAGGCAAAATCCTCAGAGTCCAGAATGCTGTAATTTTAGACACAGAAGATATGGGGTAGTCATGCTGTCAGTGGGAGGGGCTGCAATCATGGAAACCAGTAAATAGAAGGTTGTACCTGTCTTTCTGTCTTGTTTGGGGGAGGCAGACAGTGAAGTTGCCCCCACAATGGTACTCCTACTGCAGTCATGTCTTTGCCCTGCCCTGCCCTGCCCTGCCCTGCCTTTCTGCTCTGCTTTGCCAGTCTCCCAGCTCACCATTTTTGGTCTGCCTTTTCCTTCACCTTGGTGGTTATATCAGAAGCCTCTAGTGGTCATATCTGAGAAACACTTAATTCAAAAAAGTACCCAAACTATTTATTAAAATGGGTATAAATCATGGGCGTAAAGACACTAGCTGGATATTAGGTTTTTTTTAAAGTAAAAGTAGTTCAGCAGTGGAATCAGCTGCCTGGGGTGGTGGTGAGCATCTGCTTACTGGTAGTCTTCAAGCAGCGGCTGGATGAACACTTGTCAGGGATGCTTTAGGCTGATCCTGCATTGAGCAGAGGGTTGGCCTCTGTGGCCCCTTCCAACTGTATGATTCTATGATTCTGTTCACAATGCTTAACTTCAGCCTGCTGGTTCACATTACAGTTTATTTACTATTAATTTTTATTATTTTATTATTTTAAAATATATACCCTTTGACGTAGTGCTATCAGTGCTTTTGAAGAAGCAATTAAAGTACGGTGGTACTCCTACTGCAGTCATGTCTTTGCCCTGCCCTGCCCTGCCCTGCCCTGCCTTTCTGCTCTGCTTTGCCAGTCTCCCAGCTCACCATTTTTGGTCTGCCTTTTCCTTCACCTTGGTGGTTATATCAGAAGCCTCTAGTGGTCATATCTGAGAAACACTTAATTCAAAAAAGTACCCAAACTATTTATTAAAATGGGTATAAATCATGGGCGTAAAGACACTAGCTGGATATTAGGTTTTTTTTAAAGTAAAAGTAGTTCAGCAGTGGAATCAGCTGCCTGGGGTGGTGGTGAGCATCTGCTTACTGGTAGTCTTCAAGCAGCGGCTGGATGAACACTTGTCAGGGATGCTTTAGGCTGATCCTGCATTGAGCAGAGGGTTGGCCTCTGTGGCCCCTTCCAACTGTATGATTCTATGATTCTGTTCACAATGCTTAACTTCAGCCTGCTGGTTCACATTACAATTTAATTACTATTAATTTTTATTATTTTATTATTTTAAAATATATACCCTTTGACGTAGTGCTATCAGTGCTTTTGAAGAAGCAATTAAAGTACGGTTAAGAACATTTTATACCAAGTCAGCAACCAACAATGAGATATGTAACCGATCACAATCATACAGACCCTAACATGTAATTTAAAAAACATGCCTTTCTTCTTTCATTTCAGCTACCGAATGCCAACCCAAGCAGGAAAGTCATGTGTTGCTTCTCAAAGATCCTCAGGGCGAGGGTTTTTTTATATAAAAAGATTGGTCAATAAATGATAGATTTTCACAAAACTGTTTTCTTTTAATGTCTTTAAAGGTACACACAAGCCCACCTACATACTCCCTAAATAGAGTAATGGCAGGATTTCGAACCCGAAGCCAAATAATGTTGGATCACATAGAAGAACAAGATGAAGTTCTTCATTAAAAAAAAATTCCTGCTTTTCTGATCATAGTGATGAAGATGAAAAAAATGCCAAGAACGTAAGAAGACCCCCATTTAGGTACTTTCTTGGTCATATTTAATATATCTCTGTTTAATAACAAAAACTAGCCTCCTATAGAACTGTTCTCATTTAAACAACCTCTATATGTCATTGTTAACCTAGGCATTAATAAGGTTTCATATGCAATGATGAATAGAATTAATGTGATGCCTGGCTCATGCTTGCAGGAGAAAAAAGTAGTAGAATGAACTGCACGCACTACTGGCAGGTTGCGGATTCATGAATGTTCATTTGGCTTACAAAACTCCATGCAGGAAGAAAACTAATACAGAAAGAAGAAAGGATCTGCCCACCTTTTTTCTTTCAGCACAGGGAAACATTACAAAATGTTATCTTCTACCTACAGTCTGAACTGGTACGGCCAGGGGTCATTTTGTAGAAAAAGAGCTGCAGGAGCTCATTAGCATAACTCATCAGCATAACTTATTTGCATATGCCACACCCCCTGACATCACCGGAAGTGTGTCGGAAGGCAACACCCACCGCTCAGGCTCCACTGGACTATTTTGGATTGCTAGCTATTGGGGGGGGGGGGGACAAACGTGTAGATCTGTCGTCGCAGAGAAGGGAGAGCTTGTACCTGAATAAAACTTGGTCTTAAAGGTGCCACTGGACTGTTTTGTGCCGGAGGGAGCTCTGCAACTTACCTGGCTGCTTCTTGCTTTGACTGAAGGCTGCTGGGAGCAGGGGGTGGGGCTTGTTTCATGTGCCTGCCCCTGAGCTCTTTACTGCTGGAGCTCCAGTGTGCTCCTGCAGGAAATGACCCTTGGACGGCCCATTCCCCTGCATGTATAAACCAGACCCAACTCCATGTTGTACCATAGATATACTTGAATACTCTTCATAGCACATGGCTTTAAGTTGGGTAGGTGTTGCAAAGAGGGGCAATGTGGAATACCAGTTCTGTACCGGTAGGACAAAAGAACATCAGAGCACCTTTAGAGCCAACTAGATGTTATATCTATCAAGATGTGTTTTTGCAGACATGTGATGCTGAGGAACAAACATTCCCAGGTACTCCAGGACCCTGTTTGACTTGAGAGTACAGGGGGGGGGGAGTTTCAGTCTTCCCCTCCCCAGCCCAATTCAGCTTGGGAGCATGAGGGGGGGGTCCTTTCCCTCTCATGCTGCACACCCAAACTGAATCAGGCCCTGGACTGTTTGGGAATATTAGTTCCCCAACATCATGTCTGTCTGTAAAATGGGTTGGGGACATAACTCTAGTTTGGCCCTTAGCTACAGCATTGTGGTTTTGTAGTTAATGATAGGCAGAATAAACACCTAATGTAATAAGTGACCTCACATTTCATCTGTTTTAAGACTTATAAATACATTATTTTGGCTTTAATTTCTTTAGACGGTCCTTAAACCGCACTTGGACACAAAAAGAAGCTTCCCACAGCTTCATCCCTGGATCAAAAGAAACACTGCACAATTCCTCTTCACAAAATGAAACTGTTACAGGTAATGAAGTTTAATGCCTCATTATGGAAAAAAGTATAGTGTTTTATGTGATACGATAACTGGGTAGTTGTGGTACAATGGATAGTGCTGGACTTGTAGTGTGGAAATGTGCCAGTTTCCAAAAAAAACTTTGAAACTAGTTCTAGCAGGTCAAGGAAGTTTTAGAAGTTCAGGATGCTGAAAAAAATTAGTACATTGCAAGGAGCTCCAAAAGAATCGTTCCAGAATGGCCAGTAAAATGGGTCAAAAAGTTATGATTTTACATGCATGCTGATAGGTTCTGAACTGACAGAACCCCCCCCCAAACCTTGTGGTTGAGGTGGATAAGCTTACTGAAAACATCAACTCAGTATGCAGTGGTAGTTTTAAAAGGGAATGTTATGTATTAGGGCTGGAATAGTCCAGGACTGGGTATAAGAGACTGGCTGAGTCTCATCCCGTTGGGATGAGTTCTCAGCTCACAAGGGGTGCCTACTGTGGGGCAGTTGGGTAGTAGTTCCTGTGCCCCTGCACCAATGAGTATTGGCAGCCCTGCATGAGACTCACCCCGGAATTGTGTGAATGAAGGCATTCGCCCAGAGCTATGTGTGGTGGCGAGGAATGGACAGTGAAATAGAGGCCTGGGTCCAGTGCTGCCAGGCCTGCCAAGAGACCCGTCCAGAACCACCACATGCTCCTACCGCAACCCTTGGTCCCAGGTGCATTTGGACTTTGTTAGCCCCCTCCAAGGACAAATATTCTTTATTTTCGTGAACTCCTACACCAAATGGCTGGAGGTCGTGCCGGTTGCCTCCACCTCCTCCAGAGTGGCAATCCAGGCTCTCAGATGAATCTTCAGCACACACGGCCTACCCAACATGGTCATGACGGACAACAGGACTCTGCCTTCACTTTGGGGGAGTTCCAGGAGTTCTTGGGCCACTACCTAATATGGCACATCCACTCCACTCCCTTTCACCCAGCCACCAATGGGCAAGCAGAGAGGATGGTGCAGACCACGAAGGAGTCCCTCAGGCGGATCATCCACGGGGACTGGGACCATAGCATTCCTTTTTGGCCACCAGGTGATCCCGAGTGTAACCACTGGCTGCAGCCCCGCTGAGCTCCTCATAGGCAGACACCTAACTACTTGACTGGACAGACTGCACCCGGACCGAGCCCCAAAGCATCACCCGTCACCAGAGAGCCAGTAAGCGCCAGAGGATTTTTCCCAGGTGACTCTGTCTACACATGGAACTTCTCCAGTGGTCCTGCCTGGGTTCCTGCCAAGGTCATCAGAATCACCGGCCCCCTCTCATACGAGGTCTCTACCAACGGTGGACAAGTCCTGCACAGGCACATCAACCAACTTCACTGCCATTTCCTGCTGGAGATAGCCAAACCACCACCAGCCACTGCGGAGGCCAGCCGCCCAGGACCACTACTGCTGCTACCGGAGCACAGCAGGGAGGGGGACGCACCGCGTGCCAGGGACTGTTCTGACCGTGCAGAGTTGCCCACACCCATACAGACTGTTCCAGAGTCCCAGGACTCTGCTCCTGACTCGCCATCCTTGCCCAGTGCCACTGCTGAGACCCCAGACAGTGCCCCTGTGAGTTCGCCAACACTGTCTGAGCCGAGACACTCTCAGTGGGAAAGGCGCAAGCCAGCATACCTGGAGGACTATGTATATTACGGTGCTTTGGAACTTAGGGGGGAGGGGTGTTATGTATTAGGGCTGGAACATTCCAGGACTATGTACCAGAGACTGGCTGAGCTTGGAGCTCTAGAACAATAGCCCACCAGGACTCTGGAGGTGACCAGTGAGAAACCAATTTTATGTAAATAGCCTATCTTTGGGAGTTGGGTGTGTTTGGGTGTGGGTTTTGCATGCTATTTAAACAGGGCTAGTGCCCTGAGGTTTCAGTCTTGTATCTGCTGAATCACTAATAAAGCTGAACTGATCACTAGATGTGGGATCTGCTCCTCCATAGAACCCAGTATTTAACAGAAACATTCCATGCTGGGGAGAATGAAGAAAGAGTTTAAGAATAAAACTTCCATTTTAGTAATGCTGTTTATACAAGTCCCGAGTGCAGCCATGTTTTGAATGCTGTGTAGAGCTCTAGTTGTAGAGCACATCTCAGTTAAAATACTGAGGAACTAGAAAAAAGTGTAAAAGATGCCAACCAAAATAAAGGTGGGATTGGAATGCTTTCTACATCAGGCAAGGGTAAAGCATGTAGAGCTTTTTAGTTTAGGGGGGAAAGTGACTGAGGAATGACAGAGGTAGAGAATTACATAATTATGCATCATGTGAGCAGATAGAGAGAACCTTTTTTTTAACCTCATCCATAATACTAGAACTCAGGGTTCCCCTATGGAACTGATGTGCAGTGGTCTAAAGATCAATAAAAGGAAGTACTATTTGTCACAACTTGTGGAACTTGCTACCATGAGATCCTGCGGCCCCTGGTATAAATGGACGGAGAGGGAGCTAGACAGTTTTATCAAGGGTAGGATATGGAAGCAGCCATGGCCACCATGTTAAAGTCACATATTGCGTAGACAATGTGTGTAGTCCCCAAGCATAGCATATGTATGCTACTGACTGGTCTAGGAAGGACCCCACTGATGTTATCCATTTGCTCATATTTTTATTATCACTGTGAAACCATGCGTGTTGTTCAATGAATATATGCATAACTAAGTATGCAGTCCTAAAAACACTTTCTGGTGAGTAAATAAAATGGGACTTATTTCCACATAGACTTGCTTATAATTTCGTCTTGTGTTTTTAATATTCTCCCTTGTCTCAATAATACAAATAATTTTATTTTGCTTATAAAGTGTATATCTCACTTTTCCTTCATGTGCTGTGAAACAGCTTGAAGCTGAAACAGTCTTTTCCCCTGCAATTTAAGTATTATCCTTTTTTTTCAAGGTGAAGATATTGACTGTATCCAGAAGAGTCAAATATTAAATATGCAGAAGTTAAAGAATTCAGAGCTAAAACTTACTGCTGCAAAGCAAAAAATGAATGAACTTACACTTAATATCAGAATGAAAGAAGAACTTATTAAAGAGCTAGTAAAAACAGGTAACTGAATTTTGTGAAGCTCATTTTATTTACAAATATGTATGTAGGTAGTAACAGGGCCAAAGATGAACAGTAACTTTATTAGAACCTGAAGCCAATGCACTTCAGTTGTGTGTTCTTTGTTTGGTTTTTGATTTGGTGTTAGTAATTGCTGTCTGGCTTGACGATCTGCTTGAACTTTGTATTGTGTAAGGAAGTAAGACAGATGTGGATGTGATAGGGTACTGTGGATAAAGCAGAAAATTTAACTTTTAAAACTAGATATTCAAATGACAATAAAATAGTATAGTAATAATAATTCTAAATGGTTGTGCAGAGTGCCATTACAGTATCAAAAGTCACAAATGATTATTTGGGCTTTTATGTGTGTCTGTGTGTTCCCCCCCCCCATGCTAATTTTGGGTTTTTTTAAGGTAATGATGCCCGATCTGTAACTAAGCAGTATTCTCTGAAAATAACAAAACTGGAACATGAAGTGGAGAAGGCAAAAATGGAATTAATTGAAACACAAAAGCAATTGCTGGAACTAGAGAACAAGGAGTTAAGAGATATTGCAGAGAAAGCCAGGCTGCAGAAGGAATTTAGGAAGAAGATGGAAGCAGCAAAGCTTAAAGTGCAGGTACTTGTAACTGGGGAGCTATAACAACATCCTGTGGTACCATGGTAAATGGTTCTTATGATCTTATTCTTCATGCCAATATCATGGTGGTAAGAGTCTGTCATAATAAATCAAATCAAATTGCCCAGCTGGTATGACCATAAATGTGAGAGCTGGCTTAGCATAGCAGCTCAATCAGTGAGCTATATATATCAGTGATCTCTGATTTGAATCTTATCTCTGCCATGTATTCACTATGTAAGCTTAAGCAATCCAGCCCTCCCTTAGCCCATCTACTACAATAGGTTTTGTAAGTATTATAACGATACACGTGAAAGGCTTTGAGTATTCTACAGTATTACATATTATTACTTTTGGCTTTGCAAATTAAATACTTCTTGGGATAGGAGGCCCAGGTTCAAATCGCCACTCTGCCATGAATCTCACTGGGTGGTCTTGTACCTCACAGGCTTGTTAGGATAAAATGAGGGAGGGCCCATATGTACCATCAGAGCGGGAAGGGGTAGGATAAAAGTCTAATAAAAAAACAGAAAGTTTGGTTTTGAAGTCAGATGCATCTCAGCTTATGTTCCCTGTTGCCCATAATTCAAAATTTGACATTTTCCCCACAAACATGCTTGCCTGTCAAGCACACTATTTATTGGACGGATGAATCTACATGTAGTTACTTGTATAACACAGATGTGAGTACTATGTAAAAACCAGCATGAAAATATTTATCTATTCACAAGCCATTTTCCAATCAGTATTTTTTCCCTGTGAAAATGCCACATAGTGAACTCTACATTTATGTAAATACTTGAGCACTTCAATTGTTGATGTTGATTTTATGCAGTATAATCCCAAGACATTTATCACTTTTCATGTGTACATTGTGTCTGCCTGTCTCTTTCTTTATAGCAAAATTGTACAGCTTGTCTTTCTACTGAAAAACTGTACTCAAGGTAGTTAACAAATACTATAAAATTGAAACCACAGTAAAAAAACAAATCATAATAAAAAAGTCAATAGTAACAAAACAATAGTAAAGCACAGTATGGTGATATTGCTGGGAAACTAAAGTGTACTATGTAATTACAGGATTTGCAAAGGAAACAGCAGGACACCAAAAAGTTGGCATCACTGTCCACCCAGAATGAGAAACATGTAACAGAACTGGAACAGAATGTCAGTCGCATGAAAAATCAACAAGCCCAACTTCAGAAAAGATTGCAAGAGGAGAGTGAAAAAAAGAAATCCTTGGAGGCAGAAATTCAACGGGGTCACCAGCGCATCAAGGTTAAGATACTTAACTTCTGTTTGCCTACCCAGCAGAAATTTAATAGAAATTGTTTGTTTGCTTTCTCTAGGCTACTGTACATAACTTTGAACTTCCCTTCCTGGCACTCCTTTTTAATCATGCACATTATTGCACATATCGAGAGAGGCTGGAGAGCTTCCGGTTTTGGCGATTGCCATGGCAGTAGCCTTCTCTTGGACCTCCGGGAGAAGCCTGCCAGTGCCCATGGATGGGAGGGGGCATGATTGTCTGTGCCACCCAAGGAGCCTGGGAGAAGGGCTCCCAGCCATGGCGTGCTAGAGAGCTCCCCCCGGCAAGAAAAGCCGGTGAGGGGGGGCTACTCCAAGCCCCGACGGTCCGACCGTGGAGCGTCCCATATGGGAACAAGATCAGCACACCGGAGCAAGCGTTTGGTGATCAAACGATACTAGACACAAGCGAGCAATCATTGAAAATGTGAGTTTAGGTACAAGCGAGACAACGAAAAAGCGCATGGCTCTCCCAAAAGAAAACGGGGGGACTCTCCTCCATTAAGAACTGTTTACAGGCGATTTTAGCTACAAAAATGGGGGGGGGGCCCTGCTACAAAAAGCGACCGGAATAAAATAAAGAGACTGTAAGAGCTTGCCGCATTACAAGAGAACTTCCAGAGACTTTGACAAACTTTTGATAAAAGTAAACAATTCTCAAACATGGCGCCGCCGACGGTGAAGGACTCTAGAGATAAACAAGCAAAAGCAAAGCTTCTTCCCAGAAGTTCCAGCCCTGCGAGTTCTACTCCTAGACAAGACTCAACAGCGGAACTTCAAAGGCTCTTGTCGGAAGCACTTTGCCCTTTGCTGGAGAAAATCACAACAAGCTGGATACACAATTTATTTATTTATTTATTTCAGCTTACTACCCCGCTCTAACCCCCTAAGGGGTCTCTGAGCGGCTACAGTTGCTCATTTATCCCTAACCTATGGCCACAATTATTGGGGGTGGGGACAATCCCTACCGGCACCCAGTGGAGGGTTTTTTTTCTCCCAGGTCGGCTATGTCGACTTTCGGCGTCACTCGGCTTCTGGCTCCTTTCTGGCGGTCTTTCAGTGGCAGATCGGTCGGGCCCTTCTGTCACGCGGCATGCTCCGGCGCGGCCTTGGCTCAGTCCTCACAGCTCCGCCCCACCTGCGCCGTCCACAACAAGCGCAAATGGCTGCAAACATGCAGAACATTAAAAAAACGGAGCAGGAGCTTAAAGCGATTGATACCAACTCAAAGAAGATGGACAAAAAACTGCAGGCAATGGGGGGAAATTGTCAAATCAAAGAGTCTTGAGTCTTACAGCTTCAAATGGATAGAGGAAGCTATGTCTTGAGACTTCAAGGTATCCAGGAAGAGAAAGGAGAGAATCTGAGACAGATTGTCAGCGACGCTCTCGCTGCGATGGAAATATAGAGACTTGACTCTATTTCTACAAAAGCATGATGTTGCCTACAGATGGTTAACACCCAAGGGACTAATATTCAGATAAGCAAATGGTAAAGAAAGGATTGACTCTGTTGAAAAGGCTTGTGAATTTTTGCATCAACATAGCAGTCCAACAGGAGAAGGTGCGACTGATGACGCCAAAGAGAGCAAAGAAGAAGGAGAGGCTGGATCCTCTGAGGAAGACTCTGACTAAATTGTGGGCGGCGGGTCCTAAACAAGGCTATCAGTTGAGACATAGAAATGGGAAAAAATAGATTGTCAATGTGCTCTGGAATACCTAAAAAGAAGTTTATTGTATATCATTCTACAATCATTTTATGAAATTAGAAATGTTGATGAAGCACTTATGTTTAATTAGATAGATGATCATTTTCAATGAAAGTTAACTTGTGTTTAAGTTTAAAGGTAAATTTGTAAACGTATGTATGATCACCATCTCTTGGGTTTTTAGAGGGTTTTCTTTACTTTCTCCCATAGATGTAGTTCCCCTTTTCTGGATTTTCTATTTGTAGTTTTTAGTATGTAGTTATTAGAAAATGCAATAAAAAAACATCCCCTACGGGGGGGGGGGTACAAAAAAAAGAGAGGGGGGGCTGGTGTATTATTGTTGCTTCAAGTGTCAGTTGTGAGACAGGAAGTCCCGGAATTGCTTCAGCTATGAAATCGCTAGGTGTCCAATGCAAACTGTTTCAGCTTAAGAGGCCCAAATCTGCAGTATGAAGATAATAATACAGATTCTACCTTGCAGGGTTGTATAAGAATTCCTGGCACTGTATATAAAGTGCTTTTAACACTCTGAAGAGACCTAATTATACTTTTTATATATGTTTTAAGAAATATAGTATGGATATTTAACTGAAATAATTTTATACAGTAGATTGTTTAATTCTCTTATGATGGTTCCTGTGTAGTACAAATCGTATTGTTAAAATTCTGCTGTATATACTGAAATTCTTCATTTTCTACCATAAACAATTCATCTGGGAGCATGTGCAAGTTCCAGTATTGGGAAAATGGTTCTTTTTTACTTGCAGGAACTTCAGCAAAAGACAGAACAGCAGGAGAAGATTCTAAAACTAAAAAATGAAGAAATTGCTGCATTTAAGAGGAAAAACTCATCTGTACCTCCACAACAACTGCAGGTAGCTAATGTGTTATGAAGACTTTGACTGCTACTTTGAATCTGTGAGAGAAATGTATCATCTGCTAGCAGGGGTCGTTTCGTAGAAAAAGAGCTAGGGGAACTCATTAGCATAACTCATTAGCATATGCCACACACCCTGACATCAGGGGCCCGGCGGTGGACCTGCAAGGCCAGCGGGAGTGCGAGGAAGCCCCGCCAAGGCCCTCCCTGGCCCCAGGCAGGCAGGGGTGGGGAGAGGCGGGGAGGAAGCAACTTACCCTCCCTCTTCTCCTGCCTCCTCCTGGAAGCGGGGCAGCCGGAAGCAGGGGGCGGGGCTTCATCATGTGCCCCGCCCCCCTGCACCTCACCTGGGGGAACTGCGTTCCACCGCGTTCCCCCCCGAAATGACCTCTGTCTGCTAGTAAGTGATGGGTGCTCAGGACAGGGCTTGACAAATCCCGGATACCAGATTGCAATGTACCTAGTATTTTCGGCATTATTTTTGTAGTAGCATTTCTTACCAATTCTCAGTGGAGGTACAGACAGCTCGATTGAGCCAATTTTTCCACTGGTGAACAAGGGAGGAGGGATCCCCTTGGACCACCAAAAAAGGCTACAGTAGGGATCATAGGACCATGACAGAGCAAAAGCCATGTAGAACAGTGGTTTGTAAGGAGCAGAATTGGCTGGGACTAAGCTAGCTGGATCCTGTCTAAAGCTTATTTCTCATCAGAATTATCATTGTTGTTGTTGTTGTTGTTGTTGTTGTTGTATGGCATTGTGTGTAGAATAGATAGGAGATCCTAAGATTGTCTGGCAGTTAGCAGTTCTAGCTCTTTTAGCATTATACACCACTAAGTGGTGAGCTAGACTTGTTTTTAAGGGAAGAGATGTTTCAGAGGTGGTTTGCCATTGCCTGTCTCTGGTTTTCCTTGGAGGTCACTCTTCTAAATACTAGCCAAGGCCAACCCTGTTTAGCTTCCCAGATCTGATGGGATCGGGTTAGCCTGGGCTACACAGGTCAGGGCTTTCATCAGAATGTTTTGCTGTATGAGGTAAAATGCATATGAAGTTCTTATAATTACTTGTTCATATGTAAAGTCAACTTTACATCATTTGATAGTGGTGGATTAATTCATTTCATAACTACTTGCTTTTTATACTATACTATATTTCCAGTGTTCAATTAAATTGTGTTTTTAAAAGCAATAACGGAATTGCTAGCAACTGGAGAGCAATTAGGCTAGAGTTAGAGGTTAACTTTTTGTTGTGTTAATGACAACTATTATATTTATTTATATACTACACTGCTTTTGTCATAGCGTTAATAAAATTACAAGAAACCATAAAAAGGTTAGGATTAGTGTTTTTGGTAGAAACAGAAAATTTGATTATTAAAATACAAAACCCTAAAGGCTGGAAAATGAGTCTGGCTTCTCAAATTTTGGGCTGGATTAATTAAGCTATTTACAATTTGTCAAAAATACGAATACATTTTTAGTCTGTTGACCACCTGTTTTGAAATTTTCCTTGGTTAATTGGCAGGGCAAGTAAAAACTCTGAGATAGAATGCTTAAAGTGCCCCTCAGGGTACAATGCGCACTGTGATGCTGGCTTCCCTTCTCCATGTTGGAGACTGATGAAAATTTACAATGATGCTTTTTCTTGTCAGTCTACCAAGCTAACATGCATTGTCAGTTGGTAGATTATTTTATCTGTTAGAGAAAGATAACTCTTCTCGGTGCCTTCAAAAGATGGCCCCTTTAATTAGGTTTTTCAATATGTAGATTATCAACAATTAATTGAAAGTGTCAGTAACAGTGCAATCCTGTGCAGTGTTACTTAATTTTTTTTAGTTAGTTGACACCCAATAACGGTTTGGTCCAAGTGTTAGGTATCACTGTTTTATTGTTTTGTAAAAATTTTCTACTTGGTCCTTCAATGAAGTATTTCTTGGGGTGGCTTATATCATTAAAAAAAATAACAACAAAAGTATAATAAATTTGAATAATTAAAAGCATGCAATAACCTAAAACATTAAAGACCAAGTAGTTATTTTTTAAACCCATCATTAAAAGCAAGTGTATAAAACATTAAAACAGCTACAAGGTTCTTCTTTAAAAGCATAAGGCATGAAGTCGGGTCACCGGATTGGAGCATAAAGTCAATAAGAACTATACATGTATATATGAGGAGGGGAAATTTTAAAATAATACAAATCAACAGAATTCCTGGAAAAATCAGTATGTTTCACTGGGCCCTGAGATCTCCAGATTTGCTACCAGGTAAATAGCTGAGTGAAAGGATGTTTTAGTGCCACAACTGAGAAGACCCAGCTTGTAGTAACAGCTTGCATACCTCAAAGAAATGAGGCAAAGGGAGACTAAACAATACCCCCAAGGAAGATCTTAACTGACAGACAGGTACGTATAGGAACAGATAGTCCTTTTGTGTGTCAGGTTTTTAAATCCTTGAATCCTGTGAAGCTAGTGTTACTTTTCATGCAGGAAAAATAAGATTATTAAAGTCTATATATAGATAGTATGTTTTCTCCAGAACTTAGAAGAGAAAAGGAAGTGGCTTGATGAAGAGCTAGAGAAGATTTTGCAGCAACGCCAAGAGCTGGCTCATCTGGAGGAAGATTTAAAGAGAAGAGAAGCTATAATTTCTAAGAAGGAAATGCTGATACAAGAAAAGAGCCATTTGGAAATAAAGAAATTGAGATCCAGCCAGGTGCTTTATTTTTATAATACTCTGGTGCTGCTATTTAAGAGCTAAGGTTAAAAATGTATGAGAAAATAATAAAGCATCTCAATATACTTCATTTCCCTGTAAAATTGGGATATTTGACACTGTGGGTTAAAGACAAAATGCAAAATGTTAATGTTTTTCTGGGAAGTGTGTGAATACGTCTCAGTTCCTATAAACAAATGCTTTACATATTAACATTTGCAGTTTCACCCTTAAAAGCAAAAATAAATATTCGTATAAAATAAAATTGGTGGCCCTTATTATTAGTGCTTCAGTTAAATTTGTGGATGTTTATATGTTAGTGATTTTGCTTGCTTTTTTAGACAGCTAATGTCATTCTCCTGGAGAGAGTTTTGTTTTTATTTCTGTCTTTTTAGGCACTCAGTACAGACAGTTTGAAAATATCTAGCCGTCTGAGCACGTTGGATCAGGAATTATGTAACAAAAATATACAGCTTCAGAGCAATACCAGTGATGAGCAAGGAAAGATTTTGGAAGAGGTTCAGGTTCTGCAGAAGGAGAGGGATCAACTGCTAAAAAGAAGAAACAGTGTGGATGAGAAGCTTGAAAGTGGCAGAGTGTTGTCTCCTGAAGTAAGTATCGATTTGATAAGCACGACTGCCAGTTACTATTAATAGAAAAGGACATTCAGATCACTAGCTAAAAGCTGATATTGGAAGATGCTAAAATAGAAATGAAAAACTGATTTTGTTTAATAGATTCTTAAGAACATCCATTGGAGCATGTTTATTTCTGATTGTTACAACTTAATTTAAAACAGTTCTTGGTCAATGATAATCTGTACCGATTGGAGACGGTCCAAAGCAGCAACTTCTGTCCTCCCTATGTGAAGCCATTGTGACTTCTCCATTAAAGACCAAACTATAAATGATACTACAGGAGACTGATAATAGGCATCTACTTTTGTCCCCCCACCCTCACACAACCCTGGGAATCATAACAGTGGTCTCTGTGCATCACACCCATGGGATTATGCGCTTGCGCTGATCCGTATCGGTGGTATGCAAAGCTCACAAAGGGATTTTCACACCTCTCCTCCAGGCATGCACGGGAACCCCACTGTGCATGCCCAAAGAGGAGGGGCGCGGACATCCCGACAGTTCTCTTCTGACCGCCGTGCTGTTAACAGCTAGTTTCTGCCGGTCGGTGAAGAAGCGTTTTTTTCCTCTCACAAGGGGAGACTCCCTATTTTTTTTCCTTCACTTCCAGCATTTATTTTATTTCTTATTATTATCCAAAAAGAGAGAGAGAGAGAGACTTTTCGTTGAGGTTTGCTGCTGCCTCAGGCGGCTTCCCGCCCTTCTCCTCCCCCCCCCTTCCTAGGTAAAAATTTCCTCACCTCAGTGAAGGACCTTTTTCTTGTCTTTTGGGACTTTTTCCTCTTTTTTTTGGCCAAAAGAGGGGGTTGTTTTAAATTGTGTGTTGGCTGTGGCAGTAAACTTGCCCCTCGTGATGGCCACACACTATGCATTATTTGCCTTGGGGAGACTCATCGCCCAGACGCTTGCCGCCATTGTGCGAAGTTCTTGAACCAAACTCACAAAAACAGAGCCACAAGACTTCGAGTAGCGCTTTGGGAGTTGGCATTGTCCCCTGTGCCTGTGGGAAATATGTTGGCCGAGACTCCGGCACCCTCCCTATCAACGGCGACCAAGTCGACATCGGGAGGCACCTCGGCACCAAAACTCCCACACCATGCAAAGTCAGCATCGGACGGGGGGCAGTCTTCTAAGCGCTTGGCATCGAACAAGGCCTCATCCGCCTCTACGCCGGCTAAAAAGAAGAAAAAGGAGAAGCACGAGAAAGCTAAGTCTTCTCTCACTGGCACTATGCGTCAGTCACAGAAAGTGAGCAGCGATAATGTGCAATCGGGCTCTGCATTACCCCCTCTCCAGCGGGCGCAACCCGACGTCATTGATACCTCAATACCGGAGCTGCTGACGATTGAGTTACTGGACTCACCAATCCGGCACCTGAACCCCCCGGTATCGGAGGCTTCGGTCGATTCCGGACCAATTTCGGCCTCACCATTTCAAGTTGAGGAAACGGTTCTGCGTCGGACTCATGCACATCGTTCCCAGTCGGTGATTTCCTGGGAAAGTGATCAGTTAGCACTGGGCTCTCGACACTATCGATCCCGATCGCACAGAGGCCACGAATATCGATATCGAACTGATGAGTGCCCAGATTACCGTCGTTCCAGGCCCATGCTCTCATACTTGCCTAGACGGGAATTAAGACCGCACTCTCCAACCGACTTCGACCCACCGATGCCATGGGCTCATAGGGGGCAGATGCCTTGCTGGTTCACATCGTACCCAATGTCGGCATCCATGCCATGGCTGATGCCTAGGCCACAGTCGGACTGGGGCCGTGGATCACATCGTTCACGCTCTCCCCACCATAAATCTAAGCCTTCCGTGTCACAATCCAAAGCCCCAGAGGAACCTCGTCACCCACCCTCTCCGCTCCACACCGAAAGTCGCCCCAATACCGGATACCCCTGCAGTTCCGGTATCACCTGTCGTATCATTCATCTCCGACACCAATGATTCGGAAAGCCATGAATCGTCTAAAGATCCATCACCAAAGGCTACAGTATCGGACAATCTGCTGATCTCATCTTCTGAGGATCTCTCGTCATACAGAGATTTGGTCAAGAGGATGGCACATTCCCGGGGCATGTCGATTGTCCAACCCCAACCCTCAGTGTCGGACACTGTCTTCAATGTCGTGCAGAACGATACCTCCACCTCGATCACTCTCCCAATGTCGACCGTTCTTCTACAGGCGTCTTAAGGCCCCGTGGGACAAGCCTTCCTCTGCTCCAGTGTCGTCCAGGCATTTGGATCACATGTATCGTGTCCAGGAGCGGAATTCCTCCATATCCACCCCAAGCCCAACTCCTTGGTTGTGTCATCCGCCTCAAAGAGTAAACGGACCCTTGCTACCCCTTCAGATAAGGAGAGCAAGAAGTTAGACTCCATTGGTCGTCATTTATACTCCGCAGGAGCCTGTGGCATTAAGACATCTAATTATGTTGTTTGTATGGGCCGCTACCAGTACTCGCTCTGGGAGCGATTTACCGACTTTCTGACCTCAGTGCCTGATGACAAACGTCAAGGGGCCAGGAAGCTACAAAAGGAAGGCTTGCTGCTCTCTAAGCAAATCAACTCATCCAAACATACTCTGGACACGTTTTCAAAAACAATGTCATCTGCAGTTGCCCTCCATAGGCACTCCTGGCTGAGGACCACCACACTCCCTGCTGATACCAGGGCATACATAGAGGACTTACCTTTCGATGGCCAGGGTCTCTTCCATGCATCCACTGATTCGATGCTCCAGGAAATGGACAAAAGCATTAAGGCCTCGAGGTCGCTAGGGGTCTCTGCCCCCTGCAACCTTTTTGTCCTCGCTCATGGTCTCGTTATGGCTCCAGACGCCAATATGCTAAGCCGTCACCGGATGAAGGATACAGGCCTGGGCCACCATTACTTCGGACCAATGGGTCCTTTCCATCTTAGCCAAGGGCTATTCCATCGAATTCATGGAACTCCCACCTCTCCCTCTTTTCATTTAAGTATCCACCCTGCCCATCACAAATACCTCCGATTCACGATAGGTGGCAGCCACTACCAATACAGGAGTCTACCGTTTGGCCTCAGCACGGCCCCGAGGGTCTTTACCAAGACAATGGTAGTTGTTGTACCACATCTCCGCCTCTGTGGCCTGACGGTGTTCCCGTATCTGGACGATTGGCTTCTGGTTGCCCGTTCCAAGGCCCTCCTCATTCATCAGATATTTCAGCCCCTCAATCTCCTTCATTCTCTGGGACTCAGGGTCAACCATAAGAAGTTGCGCTTAGTCCCTTCTCAAAGAGTGCAATTCATAGGGGCGATACTCGATTCCTAAGAGGGTGCAGCCTTCCTGCCCCAGGACAGGGCATGAACCCTGACTGTTCAGGCAGAACAGGTTTGACTATGAGGAACCTCCTCCGCCTTCCAGATTCAACACCTCCTGGGCTTAATGGCGGCAACAACTGCAGTCCTCCATTTTGCAAAGTTGCGAATGCGACCATTCCAGCTCTGGTTCATCCATCACTTCAAGCCTCTAAGGATGTCCCAATCCGTTGCTTTTCCCCCGCCACAAGAGGTATGTGACTCCCTACTGTAGTCGACACAGTCAGACAACCTGACGGAGAGGATCCCGTTCTGTCCTCCCACTCCTACTCTCACCCTCATAACCGACGCTTCACTGTGGGGCTGGGGAGCCCACCTCAACAGCCTCTCCGTAGGTCACAGGTGGGATGCTGTATCCTCAGGGAGACACATAAACTTCTGGAACTGCTGGCAATAAAATTGGCCCTTCAATGTTTCCAACCTCTGCTCGCAGGACAATACGTAACTGTCTTAACTGACAATACGACTGCCCTCAGTTAACGTCAACAGGCAGGGTGGAACGGTCTCGCGCAGCCTCTGCCTCCTGGCTCTGGACCTTTGGGCCTGGTGCATGCCTCTGCACATCTTTCCCATTGCCTCACACATCGCTGGCAAGGCCAATGTGCATGTGGACCTGCTCAGCAGGGGTCTCTCCCAGCGTCACGACTGGGAGCTGAACTGGACCTACCTACGTCCCGTGTTTCAAGGTGGGGCACGCCTCATGTCGATGTCTTTGCCACCAGGCACAACTCAAAGTGCACTCTGTTTTGCTGCAGGGCGGCTCAGGATTCCAGGTCTTTGGGAGACGGACTCCTGTACCCATGGGACAACAACGTCCTATATATGTTCCCGCCTCTGCCTTTGTTGCTGAGAACGGTCCAAAGACTCATGAGGGTCCATACGAGGTGCATCCTGATCGCCCCCTGGTGGCCAAGGCAACCTTGGTTCGCCAATCTCCTCTCGCTAGCCAAGGCGTGTCTTCCTCTCCCACAGGTGCTAGGTCTGCTCCTGGCAGAGGGAGGAGCTCTCCTATTCCACGAGGTACACACGCTCAAGTTAACAGCTTATCTCGCACTTCTCACTCAGAGTGTATTTGTCAGCCATTTCGGCCTACCATCCGGGCTTCAATGGTTTTTCTGTTTTCTCTCACCCAGTCTCTAAGAGATTTATGAAGGGTCTCCTCCACCTGCATCCACTAATCCGCTCACCGATACCCTTGTGGGATCTACCGCTGGTGTTCTGCCATCTCATGGGGCGTCCCTTTGAGCATATGACGACTTGCGAGCTAAAGCATACAACATGGAAAACTGCCTTTCTCGTCACCATCACCTCGGCCAGGAGGGTCGGCGAACTCATGGCTCTACGCCATGACCCACCTTTCCTTGTATTCCTGCCGGACGGTGTGAAACTGGTCCCTGACATATCTTTTCTGCCTAAGGTGGTCTCCAAATTTCGCCTAGCCTCGGAGATCTTATTGCCTAACTTCTTCCCTAAACCGGAAGATGGACAACAGCGACTCCTCCCCACTCTAGATGTTAGGAGGGCACTGCTCTTTTACCTAAATAGGACACGTCTGAGTAGGAGGGACAATCATTTATTTGTCTCCTACTCCAGTCATAGACATTCCATACTGGTAGCATGGATGAAAGATATAGGGCATACAGTAGATATAGATCAATGGGCAAGTATATGGAAACCGTTGAAATATATGAGAGCGACTTATTATAAAGAAAACATTTATAAAGTTTTCCACCGGTGACTTCGACGGCTTTTCCGTTTTTTCTCACCCAGTCACAAAGAGGTTTATGAAGGGTCTCCTCCACCTGTATCCACCAGTTCGCTCACCAGTACCCTGTGAGATCTACCGCTGGTGCTCCGCCACCTTACAGGGCGGCCCTTTGAGCCCATGGCGACTTGCGAGCTAAAGCATGCAGCATGGAAAACGGCTTTTCTCGTCGCCTTCACCTCGGCCAGGAGGGTGGACGAACTCGTGGCTCTGCGCCATGACCCACCTTTCCTTGTGTTCCTGCCGGAGGGTGCTTCCCTGTCAGCGATCTGTGAGGCCGCGACATGGTCTACTCCGAACACCTTCATCAAGCACTACGCTGTTGATGTTCGTGAACGCCACAGAGTGGACCTTGGTTGTCTAGTCCTTTCGTCGGCAGAGCATTGAATTTCCGACAGCTCCCACCTCCAGGTGAGCCACTGCTTTTCAATCTCCCATGGGTGTGATACACAGAGACCACGAAGAAGATAAACAGGTTGCTTACGTGTAACTGGTGATCTTCAAGTGGTCATCTGTGCAGTCACATCTACATGCCCATCCTTCCCCACTGCTGTCGCTTCGGTACTCTTCTCTGGTTATTGACATGACAGTGGTCAGAAGGAACTGGTGGGATGTCTGTGCCCCTCCTCTTTGGGCATGCGCAGTGGGGTTCCCGCGCATGCCTGGAGGAGAGGCACGAAAATCCCTTTCTGAGCTTTGCATACCACCGATACGGATCAGTGCAGGCGCATAATCCCATGGGTGTGACTGCACAGATGACCACTCGAAGATCACCAGTTACAGGTAAGCAACCTGTTTTTCTTACCTATACCTTGTGGCTAATAGCCACTGATGGACCTCTGCATATTAAATATTCCTTTCCACGGTTGCTTTGAAGTTTGAAAAGACCAAGAAATAACACTGAGAGATCCCTTATATCACATCTATTTTGGCTTGGGTGCAGAGTATCCCCTGTGGGCTCAATGAAGTTACATCTGGCTCATTGAATTTAAGATCAGTCGAAGATGATGCTGGTTATTTTGTTTAATTAGAGTTGTATGTTTTTCTCCAACTGTATTTTTATGTTATGTTCGTTTTATGTTTGTTTTAACTCTGCTTTACCTGACTGCATGCCTGACAAGAGTTGCCATTTAAGTGTGTCCAATAATATATGAATGCTCCCTTACAGATATGCATGGCATAAAAGATTGGTAGTAATGCACTAACTATTTTGCAGAATATCCTGTATACCATGTCTGATAATCCTTGAGGAATTTTTGATATGTTTCTGAAAATTATTGAGATCAAGTACAAGCCTAAATAAGGCTGGATCCAGTGCATACTTACTTGGAAGTTAGCCCCATTGAACTCGATGGGTGTTACTTTTTTGCCTTTTGTGTGTGTCTGCATGCGCATGTGTGTGCATGCCCATGCCTGGAAGTGATGGCGACTTCTGGCGACTCCTACTAGGGTATTGAGGACGTTCAGAGAAGTGGCTTGATAGCCTGCCTCTGCCTCCCGGCCCTGGTATTCTTTGGAGTTCTCCCACCCAAATACCTGTCTTGGTCTGCCCTGCTTAAGCTTCCGAGATCTGATGAGATCAGGCTTACCTGGGCTATCCAGGTCAGTGTGATGGGTGTTACTTTTGAGTAACCATGCATAGGTTGGTCTCTCTTCTTATTAGCAGTGCTCTGTCTGATGTATACCAGTTAAATTATGTCCTAATATAAATCTGCTATTAAAGTGAATAACGTTTAGCTAATGTGGTCATGTGCCCTGTCTTTGTATCACCTTTAATGTTGATACGTTAATAAATATAGTGATTTCAGCGTTGCTTCTCATCAGTAGCCTTTTGTTGAACCTAAAGTCATAATCTTTGCTTTATTTCCAGGAAGAACACATTCTATTCCAACTTGAAGAGGGAATTGATGCCTTGGAGGCTGCCATTGCCTACAAGAATGAAAGTATCCAAAATCACAAGAGCTTGCTCAGAGCCTCATCTCAAATCATCTCTCAGAGTGAGGCCAATATGATGGGAAAATTAGTTTCCTTGTCTGCTAATGAGCTACAAGCAATTCTCTTCAAGTATTTTAATAAGGTTTGTCCATAAGGATAGTATACAACAGAGCAAACTCTTTTTTTTTCTTGTTGCACAGAATGATTGTGTAATATGTTCTTATTCTAGTTTGCGATGGTGAGAATGTACTGTGCAGAAATTTAGTTCAGTTTTGTTTTTTGGTTTTTTTTAAAAAAGATAGTGCCATTTATTAAAACAAACACTACTTAAGACATGCACATTAAATTACCTTGCCACCATGGTTTCCTCAGCTGTTCTTTTACATGAAATACAGCAGATGTTGCAGTGATGCTTCATTGGTTCTTTTAAAAGGAAAGGATGAACAGTTGTCAGATATGGTTAATGCCCAATGAGAGAGGTAGAATCATAGAGTTGGAAGGGACCTCCAGCGTCATCTAGTCCAAGCCCCTGCTCACTGCAGGAAATTCACAAATACCTCCCCCCCACACACACCCATGATGACCCTTACTCCATGCCCAGAAGATGGCCAAAAAAAACCCCTTCAGGATCCCTGGCCAAACTGGCCTGGAGAAAAATTGCTTCTTGGCCCCAAAGTGGTGATCAGCATTTTCCTGGGCATGTAAGAAAGGGCCATGAGAACTAAGCACTGATGCAATCCTCCCTGCCCTCCCTTCTCATGATCTGCCTAAGTTCACAGAATCAGCATTGCTGTCAGATAACCATCTAGCCTCTGTTTAAAAACCTCCAATGAAGGTGAGCCCACCACCTCCTGAGGAAGCCTGTTCCACTGAGGAACTGCTCTGTCAGGAAATTCTTCCTAATGTTGAGCCGAAAACTCTTTTGATTTAATTTCAACCCGTTGGTTCTGGTCCGACCTTCTGGGGAACAGAAAACAACTTCACACCATCCTCTATATGAAAGCCCTTCAAGTACTTGAAGATGGTTATCATATCACCTCTGAGTCATCTTCTCTCCAGGCTAAACATATACAGCTCCTTCAACCTTTCTTTATAGAACTTGGTCTCCAGTCACCTCACAAGGTAGCAGGGCCAGAACGGCGCTCCGGCAGTAAGGAGCCCAGGGGCGGGGGCCCCCGCCACCTTTCCTGGCCCGCCTGCCAAGGCGGATGGGCCAGGGAAGGCCTGCAGAGCTCCCTGCTGCCTGGGGGGATTTAAATGCCTTTCTTTCTCTTCCCCATCTGGGGAAAGAAAGAAAGGCATTCTAAACATGCCTGCCCTTTGTCAGGGGGTGTGGCATATGCAAATGAGTAATGAAAATGAGCTCTTGCACCTCTTTGTCTACGAAATGACCCCTGCAAGGTAGTATCCCTTGTTTACACAGGTAAACAAGGTAGTATCCCTTGTTTACACAGGTGAAATGACACTGGGGTATTTGAAGCAAACTGCTGGCCAGGATCTAGGTTCATTCCAGTTGGGAAATTTGAAGATGATTTTGAAAACCAGTTAATGAAGGTGGTTCCCCATATGATCCATACATAAGTGGGGTTTTTTTAATTTTCTGACACTGTAACCTGGGTGACTCTGAACAGCTATGGTCTAAATGCCACCTTGCAAAGTGTGTTCTGTGTGTTGTATGTAAGTGGCTTGTTTTCATGTACTGTGTGTATCTTAGCAGTTTGTCCCCTAGGATGAACAAGGCATTAGAGACCACTTGATTGTATTTACATATAATGCAAATTAAAAGTTATCTTCATATGATAGCTACATGTAGCAAATATCACTAGGAACAAGTATATCAACGATTTATTGTACTTTTATTCTACTAAGAAAGACAGAAAATACTTCAAGAATGTGGAAACCATGGTAGGGTTTATAAAAGATGCTCTGAATTTGAATTGGATAATTCTGTTGACATTCAGCTCCAGTATGACTTGTCAATGAGTCTTTGTAAGCTGTGAAGGATGTAAGCTGGTTATAGCACAATAACATACAGTAAAAGCTTTGTTATCCAGCACTCATGGGGAGTGGGGGGATGCCAAATACATAAGCTTATTGCTTTGCCCCACCTGTTACCCAGAAGAATCTGCAGCATCCAAATCCCATCCCATTGGGAATGCCATAGTGATGGTCACCATGTGTGGTGTGCTGGGTTTCCACGATTAGCAATGATTTGATTTGCCAATTTCTTTATTAGGTTGTCAGCCTCCGAGAGAGTGAACGTAAATTGCAGCTCCAAAATGAAGAACTGAGAATGAGGGTAATGGAACAAGAAAATATTGTAAGAGAGCTTGGACTGGCACTTCAGCATCTCATGCTTCAGTATGATAGGCGTCTGACCCTCCAACAGAAAGAGCATGAGCAAAAGATGCAATTAATACTAGTTCATTGCAAAGGTATTTGATTTGTGAGATTTGTAAACCTTAATATTATATATAGTTTGTACTATAAAATGTAATTGCTTCTGAATTATAGACTAAATATAAATACTTTACACTTCTTTGAAATGTAAAATTGCATTTCAGTTGTTCCAAAATCAGTCCCAAAATATTCCCCGTCAATCAAGTGGACATACAGTCCCAGGAACTCACCTGCACCATCCCAGGCTCCTGCTCAAGTAGTTAAGGCACAAAAACTGGTTCTAACAAACAAAAGATTAATAGTAAACATATTTTAATTATTAGAATAATTTTAACACATAACAAATGTTTTTAAAACAACTTTATGACAATAACTCTTCACCCTAGGTGTATTTATGTGCCTACTGCAAACTTAGCCTCTGTTGTCATTTAGTTGCTTGTAGTTTCATTGAATGGACATCTCTCTCTTTGCTTTGCCCTCTACATGGGCTTATCTGTGGCTTCATCTCTAAGGAGAGTTTCTAACTCTGTTGCAGTTCCCCCTGTGCATGCTTTTTGCATTATAAATTAACACTTCCAAAATCTGAGACAAACTGACAGTGAGACACAGATACACTGAGTTGGATCCTAAAGGACCGCAGAAGTATTTTATTTATTTTTATTTATTTACATCCCACCTGTGGAGACCCAAAGCTGCTTACATAATTCTCCTGTCCTCCCTCATATCCTCACATCAACCCTGTGAAGTAGGTCAGGCTAAGAATGTGCTTCTGTGATACAGTGGAACTTCAAACCTGGGTTTTCCAGGTCCTAGTCCAACACCCTAAGCACTATGGTGTTGACAGGGGTCATTTCGTAGAAAAAGAGGTGCAGGAGCTCATTAGCATGGCTCATTAGCATAACTCATTAGCATATGCCACACCCCCTGACATCACCGGAAGTGTGTCAGAAGGCAACACCCATCACTCAGGCTCCACTGGACTATTTTGGATTGCTAGCTATGGGGGGGGGGGGACGTGCAGATCTGTCCTCGCAGAGAAGGGAGAGCTTGTACCTGAATAAAACTTAGTCTTAAAGGTGCCACTGGACTGTTTTGGACTGGGGGCCCGGGGGGGGGCCCTGCAACTTACCCGGCTGCTTCTTGCTCTGACTGAGGGCTGCTGAAAGTGGGGGGTGGGGCTTGTTGCATGTGCCCGCCCCCTGGGCTCTTTACTGCCAGAGCTCCGCTCCTGTGCGCTCCTGCAGGAAATGACCCCTGGTGTTGCACAGAGGGCTGCAGCATGTGATTGCTCTGAGATAGAGAGGGCATATTTCATTCAGCCTGCATCCCCCGTGTCACATTTTATGTCATTCTGCCTTCAGAAGCAGCTCAAAGGACACAGTGAGAAAGTGAAGGCAGCAAGGATCCCTTATGATAGTTCTTTTGTTCATAGTTCTTTCAGATCCAACATGCTTTCTACAGCTGTCTATTTTGTGTTTTGTTCCTGTTTCATTTTATAGCATAAAAAATTTGAATCTAAAATTAGATTTGTCCTTCCAGAGGAAGATGGGGAAAGTATTACAGAATCCCTTAAAACACATGAAGCCAAAGTCCAGCGATTGGAAAAAGAGTTGTTTTTTTATAAAAAAACCAGCAGAGAACTAAAGAAGAAATTAAAGGAACTTCTTGGAGAATCGATGCATCCTGCTTCTACACAAAGTAAAAGACCAATCAATCATACAGAGCTGCCTTTTATATTAGTAGCAGAGCTCCAGTTTTCATATTTGTAAAGCAACAATTTCGTCTGTTTATGCCTTTGTCAATACATAGTGTTTTCATTTGCAATAGTATTCATTCCCACCAACATATTCACATCTTTTCCCCATTGTAGAAAACTATTGACCCTGTTAAAATTCCTGACAAAAAAGTAGAAAAGTTGAAATATAATAGTCTCAAAACATCTAAGCCAGCTGTTTCTTTGAATATTTCTTTTTAGGTAATTGTTCTAATGATGGGATACTGGACCAAGAAAGAGCAGGTATCTCTTTGCAAGAACTTGTGTGGACATCTAAATCATCTGGAAAATTGAAAGAAACAGAACACCCAGTGGGTGGCTTAGAAGCACAGCAAAATTCCCATAGACTTGAATGGAATGGTGCAGAGCTGGAATCTAATGCGCTGTGTTCATCCAACAGTCACGAGGAGCAAGCAGGAAAAGTGCAGCAGCTTGCAAAATCTAATCCACAAGTGTTCTGTCATTCTCAGGCAAAAGAGACATTGACACAACTTCAAGGAGTAACCTCAGTAAAACTTTCCCGCAAAGAATTACGTCCTATCCCTATTTCTGAGCTTTCATCAAGGCGCTCAGGCCTAATAGATGGTACAAATTCTGTTGCTGAAAATTCCTTTGAAATATCTAGGAAACCTAATGACTATAATACATAATCGTCTTTTTAAAATGTGGATTTAATAAGAATTACAGAATTTTCTTCCAATTTCAGGTAGCTACAAAGTTTATGCAAGTTATTTCTAGTTGTGCTTAATGCCACAGATCATTATTTTATGCATAAATCTGTAGTGCTGTTTTAATACTGTAATGACATAAAAGGCTGAAATCAAAGGACTTTTCACTTTGAGGAATTCTGTTACACATGTTGTTCTCCTTTCTTTGTAGAATTAGAATGGAATTTTATACTGTGTCCTCTTGAATACATCCTTTATACTACAAATAATCTTAGAGCTAATTCTCCCAATATAATTTGGTTCATACCATTGCTTGACCATTTCTGAGGGCATGTTTATGTGGCTAAACTGTATAAGTGGAACAATCAGCTATGGCCCTAAGCACTCCATGTGATTGACTATGTAGGGACAAAATTGCCATTACAGTTACAGAAGTGCTGTTGGCTAGATCTGTTAATACTCAGTTTTGCACATTTCAGTTGTCTTTGTGAACATGTAGCACTGGGGTGTTCCCATTAATACTGTATTGTGTTACCTGTTAGGTGTAGCAAGTTCTTTGTGGAAACATCAGCAGTGATGGTTTTCTAATCTACTTTTGTGTATGCACACTTATGCTAAGGTTTATGACAAAGCACTTTGCTGACTATGGTCTTAAACAATATTATTATTTATGTATCATATGGCAAAGTTACACACAGGAAGCATATAATAATATAAAATACATAAGTTTGATACAATGGGTATGCAAAGCAATTGGACAATCCCTGTAAATACTAATATCTAAATTTTCAGTCCACTCAATTGCAGCTGGGGAGAGTTCAAAGAGCTCCATCACATCTCCCTAGAGAGCATGACCCTCACATTCCTGGGACAGATGGAAAATAGGTTGGCGGGCTGCAGCAAAACGCATTTGAGTCCTGGTATTTTGCCCCATTTAAACAACAGGTCTGCACAACTGCCAAAGCGTATTCTATTAGCCGTCTTCCATACTTTATGTGGCTAGTCAAATCCTGCAGGCCTCTCACTGGTGTTTATCAGGTTATGGATATCAGGTGGAACTGATTGTATCCATGTTCGCAACTATTAATTCCCTAGATTGAAAACTTTGTGATTGCAGGATTTGTGCAGATCTTATCACTGAGTGTTGGGATCTTAGTCTGGATAGACCTGTGTCCGCCATGTCTTTGTGGATAGGCAACTCTCTGTTTTCAATTATCTTTCTATAATCATGAAAAAGAGCATCTTGTCTTTGGAGATGCAGGGGAGCGATGTGACACAATATGGGTAGGTCAGGTCAGAATGGGTTTAATACATCCACTGATGGTTCTCATTGTTGTATTGAGTTGGACATCAAATTTGTGGACATGGGGGCTGTTGAGCCACACTGAAACACCATATTCTGCAGTAGTATACACTAACCCCAAAGCTGAGCATCTGGGTATTATAGCAGATGCATCCCAAGTTGTACCACATAATTTTTGGAGAATGTTCTTTCATGTGCATATTTTCACTGCTACATTGGTAAGACGGTGTTTATAGCTCAAGGTCCTGTCCAGGATAATGCTAAGGTACTTAGGTGCTTAAATAATAAATGTTCTTCAAAAGGTATGACTACTTTTTCTGGGCAATAAGTTAGTGTTTATTGAAGTAGCTTAGCAAAACAAACTTTTATTTAAAGCAAATAATCTCTTTTGTTCCAAACACTTGCAAACATTGAGTTAATAGTTAATAAAAGTGACTTTGCAACAGGCCTAGGACTTTTTAGGGAAGTATGCTTTTAGGGGAAACAGTATCTGCAGGTGTAGTCCAAGATAGGTTATGATTTTATTGCCGCCATATAAATTAATCCACTCTGGAGCTAGTTCAGTAATCCCTTTCATTGATGTCAGTGCATTGAAGTTATTCAGTGTCTTCTTAAAGGCAAACACATGATGCTGCTATATAGGGGGATTTCTATAAATCCTAAACAGCCGCCATATAAATTAATCCACTCTGGAGCTAGTTCAGTAATCCCTTTCATTGATGTCAGTGCATTGAAGTTATTCAGTGTCTTCTTAAAGGCAAACACATGATGCTGCTATATAGGGGGATTTCTATACATCCTAAACACCTTGTACTACTAAAGA